CTTCAGAGATATACAAGATTTTTTTTTTAATTCCAAGGTTTGGTCTGCCTCTCTCCATAGGCAATGACAATGGGCCAGCATTTGTAACAGAGGTTGTATGAGATCTAGCTAAACTGTTATACTGCTTATTGACCTAAGAGTTCTTTTAAGGTTAAAAAAATTAATAAATTATACCATTAAGGTAAATATTGTCAGATAACACCAGGTTATAAGCTGATCAGCTCCCTTTGGCCTTCTTTAAATTAAGAGATAACCAAGTCATACTGGGTTCTCCCCATATGAGGTCTTGTTTAAAAAGCCACCCTGTATCTTGAGACTTTATAAAAATTATCTCAACTGGGCTTATCTAATATAGAATCACAGCTATTAAAATTGGACAAATATTTCAAATATACAAAGAATAGCTTTTCAAGGCAACTATGAAATTTCTGATAATCACACCAATTGCCAGTGGGGACATGGGGAAAAAGACCAAACTTACTTTGACGTCAGTCACTAGGATCGGTATTTGCTTAAGTCAGGTGCCCTGTTCTAACCAACACCTTTGTAAACAGACCCATCGAATTAATGTCACCTCCTATTATATTCCCCCTAGCAATGGATGGTGGGCCTGCTCTTCTGTAATAAACCCCTGCATGCATGGTGAAGTCTTAAATCAGACTGATGATTATTGTATTCTAGTCCAACTGATGCCTCAAATTCTTTACCATGATTATGAAGGCTTTTTCAACCAATGGAATAGGGGCTCCAAATATGTATGTGTATGTGTGTGTGTATATATATATATATATACACACAATTAAGAACAGCCTATAGATCAAGATATAGAAAGAATGAAATTATCTATTTCCAAACTTCAGGAGTCTTTAAGCTCTTTAGCAGAAGTAACTTTGCAATTTAAGAGAGATATGGATCCGGTGTTCCAACAGCAACAAAAAATATGTGCAACCCTAGGGAAAAAGTGTTTTTATTAGACTGACCATTCAGGAATAGTCAAGAATTCAATGGCTAAAGTTTGAGAAGGATTAGAAAAATGAAAAAAAAGAATGAACAACTAAAGTTAATATAAAAATTGGTTTGCCTCATCCTCCTGGTTAACTGCTTTGCTCTCAGTCCTCACTGGACCTCTGATTGTAGGACTGATTTTGCTTATGATAGGGCCCTGATTATTCAATAAGTTAACTGCTTTCAATAGGCAAAAAATAATAATAATAATAAGTTCAGCACAATTGATGGTATTAAAACAACAATATCAGCCTCCGCCTGATGAAGATAAAAGATTTTTTTATAATGCTCTCCTTCTGTTTAATCTGCTCTTATAAGATCGGGAAGTGCCCTTGACCCAAAAGCCCTCAATGACAAGTACTTTGAGACCACTGAAAAAAAGCCGGATTCCTTCCTCCACCATGACAATGCTTCTACACTTGTATCCTAAAAGATTTTGCCTTTATTGTACCCCAAAGATTAAATATGAGGCAATTAAAATGTCTATTCCTGCAGGGGAAACAGCCTTGCTCTCTGGATATTGTCAAAACACAGGAGTCTCCTAAATTTAACCTATGATGGGGGACAACCTAATTGGATAGAGGCAGGAGTCTGGTCAGCTGGTTCCTGCTCTCTCCTACCATAGATTACTTAGTACATCTGATGTGTAAATTTGTTCCTTTGACCTCCCCCAGGACTCTTCAAGAACTGGCAGTAAAGAAGCTCTTGCAGGAGGCACAACAAACTGCGGTGCATGAATTAGCTGCACACAAGAACTTCCACTGGCATGCCCAGCTGCAGACCAGACCTCAACCATGGATTCCTCACCAAAGAAAAGCACGGACCTGGACCCAAGATCCCACGTTTTAGGTTCTGCGATGCCCCCGTTCAGCAGGAAGTAGCTCTACGAGGACGTCATCCCGAGGTCCCCAAGACTGGGTCCCTAAGGTCCATGAGAAGGGGGAAATGTGGGACCCTAGATATTTAGTCCCAAAACCCTCCCCGCTTAGCTTAACTAACTCCATTTTAAATTGGAAAAACCATAAAACAAAGTGCCAGAACCGACCCCCAGATGAATTCAGACAGTAAAAATTTGCTCGGTTTGCTTAGTTTACTTAGTTGCGATAAGAACAGAGTCAGGCGGATGGGAGGAAGGCAATTCCAACCTCAAAGAAGAAGAACAGGAGGTTCCAGATAGATAAGAAGAGCACACCGCATTCCTGGGCACACTGACCTCTCTCTGAAGCAGCCCCCTCCCTGATGTAGTAATTTTCCCACTTTTGCAAGTGCCCCAGCGACATCCAATAGATTTACAATGTTAAAAAAGAAGCCAATAGAATAGAGAGAATTTGAAGCCACCCTAACCCTATAAAATTAGGCTAAATAAGTGGGTCGGGACTTCCAGTTTGAAGCCTCTGTGTTGGTAACACTAGGGGTCCAGGCTCAAGCTTGTAATAAACTCCTCGTGTATTTACATCAGAAGAGTTTCCTTGTGGTCTTCTTGGGGATCTCGCGACTTGGGCACAACACGACCTCAGCGCCCAGGTAGCCTGATGCCACAGCGCCACCTAGAGGGTGGGAAGGGTGGGCCCGCTGCTGTTTTCACAGATCGAGATGCTGGCATTTCATACCTTTTTTTCTGTTTTGTTTTGTTTTGTTTTGTTTTTTCAGCACCGGGGATGAAGTAAGGACCTTGTGCATGCCAGACAGGTGCGGCCCCACTGAGCTATATCCCTGGTCCTTTCACACATCTTTCATATAAGACTTGGTAAAGACGTAACACACAAATGCTGCCTATAGTAGGAAAAGCCTGCCAGGCCAGCAACTGTGGGAACTTGTGAAAAACAGGCTTTGTCTTTTCTATCAAAGGACAATGTAAGACTTGAATAAGCTAAAGTGACTCCATGCCTGTAGGCCAGAGACTGTGCTTCTTCATATGCTGATTGCTACCTTGGTTAATAGCCCTCCCAGGGGCAAATGGTATGACAAAAGGTGACCCTAGAACATTTCCTGCATGAGATAAGCAATGTGTTTGTCCTCTGGTAGTTCTGTGAATGCCCTGACCTATGTTTAAACTTTTTATTTAGAAAAACCCTATAAAAGCACCTCAGCCCCTGAGCAGTGGCCTCTCTGAGCTACCTGGCTCTGGGAGTGCCGTCTGGCCAGACTAATAAAGGTCTATTTACCATCTGGCCTGGTGTGTTCCTTCCTGGGTTTCTCATTTCTCCATGGAGCTCCCGGGCCCTCGCTGGTTGTTAGGGCCCAGCATCATGGAGGCCTTTTCGGCTGTTCATGCTCCATGGAGTGTAAGTGAGACTTTTAGTCTTAAAGACAAGACCACAGCAACTGCAGTTTGCATCTAAATGACTTGGCCATCTACTCACTACCCAGCCCTTCTGTGAAGATCTTGAGTTCCATAAACAGTGACTACTTTTCCCAGAAAACTTTTCTCAGTTTTTAGAAGAGGCAAAGACTTTCTGTTCCCAACCACTCTTCCCCTCTCACTTACCCAGAAACACACCACCCTCTCTCTGTGCCTCTACAGTTATCACCGGCCATAGGTTGGGAGCTTTGAATTTGGCCAATGAATGTAAAGTATAAAGGCTTCCCTCCAGTTAGAGTTTAAAACCCTAAAGTATAGAGGCTTTCCCCAACTCTCAGGGGAACTGCTAAGTCATTGCTGGGGTGAGCTCACACCCTTTTGAAAAAGAAAATGCCATGTGGAAATTTCTTAATGTCTAAGTGCTTCATTACCTGCATCTGCAAATTGGGTCCAGCTACTTACTGCCAACAGGGTGAAACAGGAGAGTGAGTCTGAGGCCAGCCTGGACTATATGATGAGATGCTTTCTATAAGAAAGTAAAATATCAAGTAGAACATCAGCAAACATCCATAAAGAAGTACAGCTGTGGAGGCGGGTGGGGTGGGGTGGCTCAGTGGTACGGCGCTTACTTGCATGGGGAATGCCTCGTCTTTGATCCCCAGTGCTGCAAAAACAAAACAAAATGTCTCATTGTTTCAGAAGTTGAGTCTGGGTTTGCCTTGCTCCCGTGCAGAAACATCATGGTAAATAGAAGTGAGGAAAAGTGACTACTTCATAAGAAGTAGGAAAGGAGACTCAAAGGAAGGAGCCAGATGCCAGGTTTGGTCCCCAGGTCATAGTAGTGTGACTCAGCCAGACACCTAGAAGGGTGCTTTACAAGTATCCTATACATCTCTCAAGCCAAGCGAGTGTAAACAGTAGCATCACGCGACTCCACATAATGTTTTCCTTCTGGAAACATTAGTGATGAGAGGGAGAAAATCTGAACCTGTGAGGAGGAAACAACTAGGTGTGCAGAGCTTAAGGCTGAGGTCCTCATGTGTCCCTGCCTCGGCACCAGGAACTGATCGAGTGGATCAGGTGTGGGCTCCATTTCAGCAGTCATCCTGGTCCTCGTGCCTGGCAATCGATTTATAGTCAACATTCAGGCTCTTTTTTATGATCTTGGATGAAGTATGAAGCTTGCCTAGGGGCACTGGAATGTTTGCTTCTCTTTCGTCTTTGCTCTTTTGCAGAACATCGCTATCATTTAACTCTCGTCTCTCTATATATAAGAA